TTTTTTTTTTTTTTTTTTTTTTCATTAAGACCAGTTAACTGCCCAAATGTTACACTGAACGGCTCACCAATTCCACAAAGTACTTGTGTGAACTATCTCGGCTTGCATCTCGACCGCAGATTAACATGGAAAAACCACATTAAAGCAAAAAGTCAACAACTTAGACTTAAAACACTAAAAATGTCCTGGTTGATAAGTCGAAAATCAGAAACCACTTTGGAAAACAAAATTCGCCTCCACAAATCCATACTGAAACTGAAAAAAAAATTTTTTTTTTTTCTCTCTCTCTTTATATTTATTCTCATTTTTTTTTTTCGAGACGTTGATATGCAATGACTGCACCATCAAGTGGCCATGCGACACCAAGCCAAAGCCTGTTACGCGAGGAACCCATCAGAACGCAGCCCTCCTCCCGCCCAAAAAAACAATGAATGCAAAATGGATCCATGCAGGAGATTGCTTTTATTGGGATTGGCGGCTCTTGCATGATCGGAGGAGGAGGACAATCAACAAAATAAGCGCCGACAGCTTTGATAAAACCCATATCTTCAGGAAATAAACCAGAACGGTCGTTTGTCTATACATTTGAGTATTATAACTCATATAAATATGTGTACATTAATGGAAACCCATGAAAGGATACCCTTTTGCATATTCCGCAGTTTGAAAATATGACAGAAAATTTGCATATGGCTGGGAATAACATCTGCAGACTTCTTTAATTGGTGAAGCAGCAAGGCCGTGACAAGGAATATTTGCGCCCGTTGCAAAGTTGTAAAACGGCGCCACCAAGCACCCTTCCTATTCAACATTGGCTAGTTTCGAGCCCAGATTGTCGCCATCGCCCCTTGGCACGACCCTGTGGATCAGTACTTGGTCCAAAAAGGAAAACAACTTAAAACATTTTGTTAACAGCCCAGCCGGGTCTGTGTCTTGGCGACATGAAGATACTGGCGTTCAAATAAGTTAAAAAAATTAAAAATGCAAATAAATTCAATATAATCTCATTAACCTATAATAATTGTTTCCCTTTTTGCCGTTTGATGACCTTAAGCTCGTTTAGAAGCACGGTGGTAATTTATCTTTCAACTTCAGTGGCATTGTTGCCTCCATTTGATTCAGACTATACTCTCTGTTTGCTAGGTACCCTCCCGCAAATTAAAACAGATCCTTATTTTACTATCAATACCACACATATACTATCGTTACCACAAAATACTATCGTCTGACTTTCTAGATTTTTTCGGCATGTTTTTTTGGTTCGATCTGAGTACTGACAGGCGTAAAGCCACTAGAAAGTAAAGTGTTGTTTTATTTATTAAAAATTGTACACACTCGAAATCTTACAACTGACCGAACGCTGGATCGGCTGGCGGGCGTGCCGGAAGACAAGCTGGTCGAGGCCCATGGCAGCTTCCACACCAACTACTGCATTAAGCGTATAATGGAATACGGCATTGCCTGGATGAAGGAGAAGATCTTCGCTGATCGGCTGCCCAAGTGCACGGCATGCAAGAAAATTGTGAAGACGGATATTGTTGTCTTTGGGGAAGACTTGCCCGAAAAGTTCCTCAAAAGTTTGGTGGAGACTTCCAGGAGTGCGATCTGCTGAGTATCATGGGCACCTCGCTGGAATTGCATCCGTTTGTAGCTTTGGCGCAGTACCCTGGACCGCGCTGTGTGCGTCTCTTGATCAATCGCGATGCCGTTGGTTTTCCCAAGTTTACCACCTTGATGGAGGACCAAAATAACGACTGTCTGCGGCAGCATCCACTTGGCACTGGGCTCGACACGAACAGCGAGTCATGTATTGACTTAGCGGAGCAGCATTCAAATGCCACTTTCACCCACCTACGTTGAGGCTCTCAGGTACTTTATCCGATTTTGAGATATATTAATTAGTATTGATTCAAGTTCATCCCACCGTAGTGTGACCGATGAAAACAGCGCTGGCGCAGCACAGCTCATTGATCAGACGATGAACAGCAGATAGCAGACTGCAGCTCCAGCTCGAAAACATCATCACATCCGTTCTTGTGAACTCCTCTCTCGAGTTCGAAGTATCGGCATTTTGGATGGTTCAGCAGGACAGCAGGTTTAGGACAGCCCAATAGATGCTGCCCAGGCAAGCGGCAGTGACCCTCCTTCTAGAGCGAATAGAGAAAGGCCACAGAATGAATGGTCTTGCCGAGGCCCATCTCATCGGCTAGAATGGTGTCGATGGCCTGTCGAGGCTCTTCAGGTACTTTATCCGATTTTGAGATATTTTAATTAGTATTGATTCAAGTTCATCCCACCGTAGTGTGAGCGATGAAAACAGCGCTGGCGCAGCACAGCTCATTGATCAGACGATGAACATCAGATAGCAGACTGCAGCTCCAGCTCGAAAACATCATCACTTCCGATCTTGTGAACCAAGTACCAAGCGGATGCTGCCGCAGACAGTCGTCATTTTGGTCATCCATCCAGGTGGTAAACTTGGGACGA